GTTGCACCGATCATTGTTTCTGATGCCAGAGTTTAAAATCAAACCATGATTCTATTTACTGTGTTCTGAGGAGCGGTGACGAGGCTGTAGAGCTCTTGGTTTTCAACTCCATCTGGTTGCGAGCCTTCGGGGTAGTCATAAACTGAAGACACCCGCACAGGAGTTACACGGTTCTGAGTTTCATCCTCTGTGATGTTTCCATAAAGCCAGTTGGCCTGGAGAAAGAGAACAAACTGGCTGATTGATCCTAATCAAGTAGTAATGAAGCTCAGGTCACTCATAACTCCTAAAACCCACCTGTGTGATGTCAGCATGATCAGTTTTCATAGAAGATCCTGAAAAACATGCAAACATTAAACATCTGTATTTATGTCACATTAAGTCACACAGTAACAGAACCCAAAGAACTGAACAGTATTAGGAAAAAAGTAGTGAAGAGATTAAACAATGATTGATTTGAAATAAACTGCAACCAATAACTGTGTCACAGTGCTTTCAATTCCTTTCAGATTTTCTTGTTACTTTTATTATTAAAGCATAAAGTTATTTACACTTTCACATTTTGCAATAAAAAGTCCCCATAATAAATATTACACAATATATTATAAAGGTTTGGCTTAACATTAAGTTTAGGGTTAATCTCCAGGAAATGAACCTGCATCATGTTGTGGACTGAAGAGATGAATTTGTTTACTACAGGCTCACCTTTTGGTTTATTCTTCCTGTTTTTGTAGAAAATCAGCAAAGCTGCTGATAAGATGGTGATCATAGCGACCAGAATCAGAGTCACATGAAGCAGCTTATCTGCAACGTAATAGAACAGATTTTATATTGTTACACTCTAAATATGTGATATGTAATAAATACATTTTTGAAATAAGATTCCCCAATCTTATAAACAATACATTTGCACAATGACTGAAACTAGCACCACTGAATGCCCATTGATAAAAGCCCATTGACCATTGATCAACAACCACTGATCAATGGCCATGAGTACCATTCACAGAGAGTTGGCAATGGCTGCAATCACAGCATTGTAAGATGGTGACAGATGTACCCTTAGGCCCCCTCCTCGATTCAGAGTTGGTCTTTCCCTTTTTATGTAAATGGCACCCCGTGTCTGATATTTACTGCAGTACATTTATTTTATAACTTCACTTCTGTAGCTTAATATTACAAAACATACTCAAATAAAGAATTATGTAAATTCCGTTCAAACTATAATGAGGGTACAATAAGATGGAATAACAAGAAAAATGTTTAAATAAACAAAAATAATATACCTCATCCTGCAGCGAATCTGGAATTTTTACTTTTGATACTTTAAATCTATTTTAATTTAAATACTTTTATCTTTTACTTCTGAGTTGTGTATTTCTCCAATGTGTCTGTTTCTATTTATACTTATAGGAATAAATCAGACCCCTTCTTCCACATCTGCTGGTGTGTCATTAATAAATATGAATGAGGTTTGTATTTTTGTGATAAACACAGTGACGGATCCACACTCACACTCACACCCACACACACATGCACATACGATGTACCTGAACCTGCAGCTGTTTGAGGCTGTCTGGAGATTTCAGAGGAGGCTGATGAAGATGTGAAG